TATTGCCCCACGTGCGTGTTGACGAGGACACCCACCGCCAACGCCTCTGCTGTCGCATGTTCCAAGGAACAGTTCTTCTCCAGTATCGAAAACGGCGTGTAGCGGGCGGTGCCTTCTCGTCTCGGTCAGTCCGATGACGTCGTACTTGATCTTCCTGGCTTGCATCATCAGGTCTTCGATGTGAGCTTCGGATGCAAGCGTTCGTGCGTTGAAAGTACAGATCGCCATCTTAGTCCTTCTTCGTTTAGGCAGCCTATCCGGGCCCTGAGATTCTAGCAGCCTCTCCCGAGCGGTCCTACCCAACGCTGCCGTATTGGGGGCTCCCTCAGGTTCAGGGGAATGAGGCCCATCCATGTTGCTGTTTTCAGCATTTCGGCGACCGCGAGTGGCTTGCCAGGCTCTGTCCTGGGGCTGGGATGGACCTTCAGGTAGATAGCCAGAACGGAACAAAGGGTCTTGTTCTTCGAGGCGGCCCGTGTTGCTTCCCAGTAGTTTCCAGTCACTTGAATGCAAGCTTTTGGCTGTGCCGACATGCAGGATACCAACCGCACACACACAGAGCACACACACACGCAAGCATGCATGGATACGCCTGAGTGGAGACAGCTGGTATGAATCAACACAGCACTACAGAAACAGGGAGTCCATCCCCTGAATCCACCTGCGTCTCAGGGCAAGTACATGGTGGCTTTTGTCCGCGATTTATACATGGTGAATTTTGGTCCGCGATTTACCCCCTATCCGCCACCTGGGGTCGCGCCACGTAGCCTCGCCACCAACCGGCTAGAGATCTTTCAGTGAGAGAGGACCTCAGTGAAAGAATTCGTGGCATAGACCACATACACACCATACACATCCCGCACACACCACACACACCACACACACCACACACACACACCACACACCACACACACACACACCACACACACACACACACACACACACCACACACACACACACACACACACACACACACACACACCACACACACACACACACACCACACACACACACACACACACACACACCACACACACACACACACACACACACACACACACACACACACACACACACACACACACACACACACACACACACCACACACACACCACACACCACACACTCACACCACACACACTCCACCTTACACACCACATACACACTGCGCACACAGTGCTGTGGTCTAAAACATTTATAAGAACGTTTGGAAGGCCCCCTGTTCCAAAAGCATATAGGCGTCCTGGGCGAGAGGATCTTAACACCAAAAATTCTTCTCCCTATTACTTCATACGAGATTCTTGTTGGCATGTTTGAAGAGCGCACATTACTTCTCCAGTGGATCCCGACAATTTTGGCTTTGTACCTAGGAGCAATTTCGAGCAAAGGTCACTTGCTTCATAGCTGCTTGACCTGACCAGTATCCTGGCTGTATTCACAATTTCTAGTGGATTCAGCTTTTTATAGAAATCATTCGAGACCACAAGTGCCATTCGAATAGTCAACGAGATTTTCCATGATCTTTCGATTTCCCCCATTTAAAATAACCATCTAGAAAACTGTTAACTCGACTCCAAGTATTGTGCGAGAGTCCGCGATTAAGCCTACTCAACTAGGTAAGCATCGCGTAACAGTTAGCCCCATTAACTCGAGGAAAGTGAAACGAACTGGTATTTAAAAAGTGGTCTAGGTAGGAAGGCACGGATTATACGACGAAAAGGGAGCTTGAGAGGTGCTCATTGCGACAGGGATGAAGAAACATGAGAAATGGTCCAGAAGCACAGAGCACCCCTTCCTTGCCCGTTGATTTCCGCACTGATGCGACTCTCAGTGTGCCCTCTTCAACACTAACGCTCTCTGCTATCTAATCACTCGCCGCGTATAGACCTACGGCGAGTGATTAGATAGTCGGTGGGCGTTCCGGATCCAATTGCGCCAAAGGGAAGGCCCAGCTAGATTGCCGGGGCATATCGTTCAACGCGAATTGCGTGCTGGTCCGCACCCTCAGGGGTCCGCCTTCCATCCACTAGGTAAGTTTAGGAATTGCCGGATATAGTGGGTGTCACAGCTGGTACAGGAATCTCAGAAAGTACCAACTAGCGTTCAGCCGAAGGAAGTTCGGTATCGGTGGCTATCGGAACTTGTGGGGTTTTGCTCGCCTTATGGACGTGTCCAGCCACGCGGTTTACTCGGTAACTTGAAACCCTGAACAAATTCCGACTTGAATTGACTTTAGTGGAACAAGACAAGACAAGTGTGAAAGATTCACTTAAAGCGACTTGAGATTTTCAACTGCTCTCGACTAGGCTGGAGATGGCGATACCAACTGGAGGCCTAAACAGATTCGCTTTAAAGCGAGAGATTACGATAAGATTCTCTGTGCTCATAGTGGAAGTGGAGATGCTGAATAATGCCCTAGTAGCGAAAAAAGCAAAGAAATCCGTCAAAAACGCGCAAAATGGGACCACTTCCTCTGCCCGTTGACCTCCGATAATGGACGAGTTGGCAACCAACTAAGAGGTCGTCGGCACTCGTTAAACCATAGCTGCCATCATACCACCAGAGATCATACCTTGATTGATAAAGCATTCCATGAGAAAAATTGGATACGCGCTCGAAGTGGCATACCTTATCAGAATGATAATCGAACAGCGATCTGCTGAGGGGCGGAGCACAGGCGGAGGCGGAGCTCAGAAAGGATTGGCAGCCCCAGGGCGCTGCAACGAGCGCACCTTTAGTCACAAAAAGGCCACATCTCGATTCCTTTGGGCTCTAGCTACTGCTTGAAGTGCTGCTCGTTCTTCCATGCTGCACAGAAATTTTATCGTAATTTCTCGCTTTAATTAACTTTCCCACTTGAGTAATTCCGTAGATGACTTGACTTGAGCGCGATAAGAAACAAGATTTACTTGAATTTTTACTTGGGATAAAGAAAGCGAAAAACACTAATGAATATGATATTGAGAAGAGGTCAGGGAACCTGAGCCGATCACAGCCAAAGACAATGACGAAATTGAGGCATCAGGTAAAGAACGATGCCTGAGACGATACGGAGGACGATATTGATCCAGTGTACTTGAGATTGCCCTTTTATAGCTGCCTCGATCCCGCCAGATCATCCCGCAGATCATGCCTACAATCGAATCCATCCGGTCAAAGGCTGAACAACTGAATTATTAAAACATTGAAATTATTATACACACTAAAGGATAAACAAACACAAGAACAAAAGGAAAAACTAGGTCGCATTCGCGACATTCCCACCTACGACGAGAAGTGCGCTCTCTCTCCAGATTGGTGAGCTCCTCGATTTTGCGAAGCATTCTGAGTTGCAACTCTTCCTTCTTGTCTGGTGCTGGGCAAACTGCGCGGTGATGTGTATACGGTGGAATGATGTCCGCAAAAGGTGTTCCTTGGAGCGGCTTACAATACCAGCACCCCTTCTCCTTCTTTTTACACGTGCCGTGGCAAAACTTCATGCACTTGAAACATCTGCCACAATATTTTGCAACTTCTAGCCTCTGATTTCCATCGACGACATTAGGGCACGAGTCTGAATAATGGGCACCCACGACTCCGCAGAAGGAACAGTCGATTTTAGGGTCAATGCCTTCAGAATAGTCGACTATCATCCTGTATGGGTACTTTGACAGGGTAGCATCCATTATCTCAATTTCTGTCCGAATGGCCGCCATTTCATCTGCTGCTTCCTGGCTAGTGGCAGGCTTCGACTTCTTTGCATTAGTTCCCGAGCCACTTGGTTGGTCGGCTAATGAAGCAGTGGATTCTTCTGTGGTTAATGCTCTCTTCCTTGAACAAGTTTTGCTGCTGCACGGTTTCTCGGGCGGCATCTGTCCGGATGACTGTTTTCCATCTTCCTTTCCTTCGCTTTTCTGCGTCTCTTCGACTTGATCACCACTTGACTCACGAAGCAAACGATCGAAATATTGGTCGTCGGTCTCCTGCGATGGTTGGGGTTTGTCGGGTCGAGAAGCCTTCACGCTTTCATCGGATTTCTTGGGCTCCATCCTTAACGCCTGCAACTGATCTTGCATTGCCTTCACACTCTTAGTAAGGACCTCTGCTGCCTCCAATTCTCTCCGGTTCGACTTGAGCTCCTTTTCGGCCGTCACCATGTACTCCGTGATTTCTTTGATCGTTGTTCCCAAACGTCGTACATCTCGCTCGATGAGCGCCATCACGTCCTTGGTATTGACTTGGACATTTTCTATCTGTAACCACTCTTCTCTTCTGGCCGCTAACTCCTGATCGTTCTGGGCATTGCTCTCATAAATGCGGTCCGTTAGAACATAGCGAGTGCCGAGACGCAGGAGTCGCTCTTTAGTGAGGTTGGCCGTTAGTAGATGCTGATTCAGAAGCTGAAGTCTTTCAGCTGTTCCCATCTCGTGAAGTGTGGTACTGCAAAGGAGGCGGAACCATTCGTTTCGCAGTGATGTAGTGATATTCACTTGAACTTTTATTTCGTTGAGGACAGCTGTTAGGTCTCCTTCTAATCTCTGGCTCGTAGGCTTTAACTCTAGTATCATACGGCTCAGATACTTGGGACCTCCTTCCACATCGCGTGGATCCAGCCTGAAATCGGGAACACATAATGTTGCAAACTCGATTAGACTGAGGTTAAACTTGAATAACACATTAAACTTGAAACTGCGTAATAAGGCTTTTCGTTTGAGTTTTCTTGAGGGCGTGCATAGGCAAAGAAAACTTGGAAATGGGATGCTTTCCCCTACTGGCCATTGGCTATTGATAATTCTCCAAAGTAGCTCATTCTCGAGCAGAGGAACTTGGGGAAAGTACTTGGTGTTTCCCTTTTCTTGAAT